GTCTGCCTTCTTGAAGAATCATCTCTCTTCATTTATGCTTCCAGCTATCTTGTTCAACCATCATAGTGCAACTGTTTTCAATTTTTAACCCATTCTTTTCTAAATTAGGCTTCCTGTGGTGAGGTAGCTCACATTATCTTAGGAAAAACATCTCTGTTTATACCTATACTAAACTCATAGGAGAGTCTTTTTAATACAGTGATTTTTAAATTCAGCATGTGTCTTTTCTTTATTGTACCAAAGATAACCATGCCAACCAAATCTTAAATTATGGCATTCGTGTTCCAAGAGTCTCACATCTCTAAGCATTAACCTTTCATTAAACTATACAAAACAACAGGCTTGTAATACAATTAAACATGAGGGATTTCTAAATTACATATTTCCCTGAGGAATGTTTTTCCTTTCCCATCATGGAATGTTTTAAATTTTCTTCTGGGTTTATTTCCTGCCAGAGAAATCTAGGAATCTCGTTCTGACATTGATCAAAAGGTATTCCATTTCTTATAAAGGGATCATTTGAAAGAGAAATAAAAGTCTTGGCAAAACATTTGTTTTTATTACTGCAATTCTACCTGAAAGGGATAAACCTAATTTCCCCCATTTTTCTGTTTCTCTTTTAATTTCTTTCCAGATCTTTTCACAGTTGTTTTGAAATAATAAAACTCTTGTTCTTCATTATTGTGGCACCCAAATATTTAAATCCTCAAAATTTGAAAGAGCAGTTAGTTCATTGCCCTCTTTTGAAGTCATATTCTGAGTTGGCAATTTTATTTTGTCTCAATTCATTTAAATCCAGAGTATGTCCCAAACACTTTCCCCCTCCAAAAGCACCTTCATTGAGTCCAGTGAGTTTGATGTCATTACCACAAGATCATCCACATAAGCTCTCATCTTATATTGTTCTTTTTGTAACCCTTACCCCATAGATTTTGTCATCTTGTTTAATATCTCTCAGTAGGGTCTCCAGTGCCAAAATAAACAGTAAAGGTGAGAGAGGACACCCTTGTTTGGTCCCCTTTTGGATTTCAATCGACGTCATTTCATTGCCTCTTATTAACACAATGCCTTTACTTGTTCATCAAGATTAAAGTGTTAAGGATTTGTGACTATGCTTGCTTTCTGGTTTATGACATAGATTGCTCACTGAGGTATCTATGTTTGTGAATATTGGATCATTTCTTCACTGTTCTGAAGCAGCACTGTTGTCAGATCTATGTTTTTAAACAAGTACACCTCTAAAACCAAATCTTGCTGCTGTGGTCCTGCCTCCTTTCAAATAGCTCTATCTCTTCTCTGATTTGCATCTGTGATTGGTTGTAGATGGAATTCTGTATGAGCATTCAAAGCTAGGAGAAAGAGAAGAGCCACTTTGAAAGCAGTCTTCAGGAAGAATAAAAGTTGGAGCATACGGCACCCTCTGCTTTGTTTTAACAACAGCTGGATTGTATCAAAGACCTCACATTTCAAGGGGAGCTGCTTACTGTACACAGTGCCTGGAATGCATCAAGTGTCTGTGTTTTCTTCTTTTTCATTCTGACACCTGGAGGGCTAAATTCAAGTTCAGACGTTGACACCTGGAGCCATTGATCTTTACTTGTCTAACTTTACTGTGTGATACATTAGGACATTGCAGTTTCTACCTTTCACTTTAATTTCAACAAAGCTTATAAGATTATTGAAACTGAGGTCATATTTAAAACATCAGTGACCCTATTCTCATACCTTCTTGTGTCTTCTTATTACTATTAATTTATAACTGGCTTGGGTTCCTGTATGAATAAAATAGATTCGTTTTAGATTTGCTTTTTAACATCATAGAATTGTTGTATATAGGCACAAAAATAGCAGTTGTGTGGTGTAAACATTGTTTGTGGTTATCTCTTATTGTCCTTAAGTGACAGGGAGGGGGAGAACAAAACCAGTGTTTCTCAGGCCACTGGGAAATGGAGGATATTGTAGTTTTATTTAACATATTTGGGGAGGTGCTTGGTGGGAGAAGGCTTATCAAGTTCTGCTCCAAATTCCTTCCATGGTCTAAATTAGGGTAAGCAACTTTGGCAGACTGGGGGCCAATTCTTCCCCACTCCTTAACTGCCAGTGCTGTGAATTGCTGAAAGTGACCAGAAGCCCAATTCTGGTTTTGGGAAACTAACAGGGTTTTGTTTTGGTTTTTTTACCTAAAAAATGTGTGGTAAACCTACCCATTGTTGTAAAACAGTGTTTCTCAGCCCATCTGATGTAGGGAACCACCAATTATTTTTCTCCAATGCTTGATGCCCTGGCACCATATTTGTGCCCCTTGGGTAAAATTGTTTCTTTTTTCTCCAGGGACTGGGAGCCAGTGGGACCAACATCAATTCAGGAACCAGTACTTTGAGGAGCACTTATGTATGCAGTGACTAACAACAGTGAACAACTAGTGTACCTGTAGATTAAAATCAGAATTTATCTTGAATATCATAATAGAGATTCCATGAGAAATAAAACTGCCAGTATCAAAATAACTTCATATAAACAAAAGTATTTCTATATTTAGACTGCTACAAATAATACTGATTACTTCATTCCCTAAAGGGAATGTGAGAGTTGAGGGAAGAGCAATCAACATTACCAAGAAACAGGAATGCTTCCCTGTTTTCAGAAAAAAATGAAGCATGGAAAAGGCAATATTCTCTTTTTGTTTTAAAAATAACTGAGGTTGTCATTACAGAGATTGATGAAATATAAAATATATGTGTTGGGGGGAGTATGGATAAGATTTTTTCACATACAGATTTTCTCATAACATTACCACTTAACATCATCTTAGGGACACTGATCAGCAGGGATTCAGAAGACACAAAAATGAATGCATTTTTACACACATTCAACATAACCTATTGAATCCCGCAAGGTATGACAATAGCCATTGGCATAGGTGTGTTCTTTCCATGATTGCAAATACCCATTATCAACTCTGAGATCCCATTAAATACTGCATTTTAGTTATTACATGAGAATTATTTTGCATCTACAAATATGATACTGACAGTTTTTTATTTGGAGTGATTACAGGAACTGGCTTACCTGCAGATTAAAATGTCTGTGTGCCCTTCTTCAATCAATAAAAATGTCCCCCTTTTCCCTTGAGTGTGTGTTAATTTCTAACACTCATCCCCCTACAAACCAATTAGACACCATCACGTTTCTTTTTGAATCAGCTCTTACTCTGAAAGTGAATTTTTGGATCAGTTCCTGCCTTCAAAGTAAAGTGACCTAGATAGGAATTGAAAAGCTGTTTAGAGATCACCTTTCCTCCTGCATAGTGCCTTGTCATTCTTTTGCCCTTGTTATACAGTCGGGCTTACAGCCACAGTAAATCCCATCATAAACTCTGCTTTATGAGCCTCATTTGTGCAGTGTTCGAGTAGCCCAGTGCCCTTTGGCTGAGCTCTCTTATGGCATTGGCATTGTTTGCATTATCCTATGGTGGGCTCTGGTTTGCTTTGCATTGTGAAATGGGATGCCTGGCTGTTGTTTTGCAGAGATATATGGTTTGTGGGATTGTTGTGCTGAATATCAAAAGGATGTCAGCAAATATTTATTATTTTAAGCTGTCTCAGCTGTTCTTCTTGAGCAAATAAACCTACATTCAAAATGAAGTGCTGCTTGCCTTGTATATCATGATGTGTGCAAATATGATTATTGCTTTAGAGTCACATTCAGTAGGAATGGAAGGAATTGTTGAAAACCGCCTTGTTCTTTGCAAACAGATTTCTCAGATTTGCAATATACCCCAGGAAATTCACATGGTTAATCTAAATGTACTTATTTTTGTGCAACACTTTCTGCAATTTGATTGCAGCAGATGGTAGCGTTTCTTTCTTTTCTTTTTTTTTAAAGTTGTATAGTAGAGGGAAGGAAGACATAATTTCTTGGGCTTATGAGGGCAAATAACTGCTATAGGGAGTAACAGGGCATTTGCTGAGTCTAGAATTCTTCTCCCATTATTTCTGCAGCCCCCTCACATTAAATCTTTTTCCTAGGATAATTTTTATAGTGGCAGCTTTATATACTTAATTAGATAGGACCCCACTTTCTGGCCTTTGTGCAGCCTTTCTGTCTTCATTTATTAGAGACAATTTCTTGTTCTTTCTTTTTAAAGTGAACGTATGTACATTGGTGCACTATTTTACATATTAAGTTCATCTATTAAAATGTTTTTATTAGATGTATATTATTGGAAGCTATTTCATGATTTCATCAGAGCATTTCCTATCCATTTTTTGGCAACTGCATGATTTCTTTCAGGGTGTGTAAAGGCTCCAGATCCTATCTGATAATTGAAGCTAAGCAGGATCAGACCTGGTTAGAACTTGGATGGTAGACTGCCAACGAGTACCAGATGATGTAGGCTGCATACATTTCAGAGGAAGGAACTGGCAAAACCACCTCTGAGTATTCCTTGCCTAAGAAAACCCTATGAAATTCATGGGGTAGCCATAAGTTCACAGGCAACTTGAAGGCACCTGTGCATGCATGCGTACCCTCCCCCATTCCAAAAGAGGAGAAGGTGATGAAGAGCACAAACCTCCAATTCATGGAGAAGAAGGAACAAATGGATGGTGTAAAAGGTTAATGAAATATAACATTCTGGCTACATTCTGGCTACAAGTGTGTACACACTTAACAATGAATTCTGGAACTTCGTTTACACTTAGATTTATAGTTCCACCTCTCCAAAATTGATCAACCAAACAGCAACCGTACATTTATAGACAAGTTCACATATGTCACAAAACATCAAAGCTAAAGAGTTTATGATTGCAAAAAACATGTAGAAGAAGGCAGTTTACCATATAACTTTGTTGTTGTTGTATGCCTGCAAGTTGTTTCCAACTTATGCCGACCCTAAGGCCATATCATGGGGTTTCTTAGCAAGATTTGTACAGAGGAGGTTTGCCATTGCCTTTCCCCTGGGGCTGGCTGTAAGAGTCTGACCCATTCAGTGGGTTTTATGGCAGAGCAGGGAATTGAATGCTGGTCTGAAAAGTCCTAGTCCAAAACTCAAACCACTACGCCACGCTGGCTCTGTGCAACATAACTTTACCGCATACCAAAGGATGTAATATTTTGACTCAAGGAGGGACTATTCACATGGCAAACTTCATGAAGATAGTTACACTAATGAGAAAGCATTTCATATATAGTATTTATATAGGATAGCAAACAGAGAGAAGGTGCGAAACAGAGAAAGTGTTTTTGAATTATAAAGGATAGCTTGTTAGGATCTAGGACACTCGCAGCTCTCTCTGTGGGCATACGTGCCATTGCCTCAGCACAGATTTAGCCAGAGTTTGTTACTAGAAAACCGGAGGGATGTGGCACTTTGTGATAAATAAGTGGGTTTTGGGTTGCAGTTTGGGCACTCGGTCTCTAAAAAGTTTGCCATCACTGACCTAGGTTATATATTGTTCTTTCTTTGTCATCCAGTGTTCCCAACTAATGTTCTCTTTCTTTTCTTGTTCTTTTGTTCTTGAAGGATGGCATGAACTGGGTCTGCAGAAATGTCAATGCAAAGAAGAAGTAAGCTGAACTGCGTTGCACTGAAACTGGAGGGGCTGCCAAAGCCAAACACATTAGCTGACTGCTGGTGTCTGACCAAATTCCCCCCCCCCCATCTGTGTGAGACTACAGCTGTTAGGAATGGGAACAGTAGCTAAGCCTCCCACTCATATTGGAACTTTACCTGTTCTCTAGCGTCATTCCCCCTCCCTCTAAATGAATTTCTTCCTCACCCATCCCTTTTTTTCACATAAATTAAATTAAAGGTTTCCACATTAATTTGACTGAACAATGAGATTTGAAAACAGAAGCAGATTGGAGTCTGGCATAAAAACTTTGGTGGGCTTCACAAAGCTACAGTTCATAGCAATGTATATAGGAGCCTATATCATTTCTGAAATCTCAGGATGCTCACCTGGTTTCATTCAAAGTTTGTCTGATCAGCAAATGAAATGTTTTGTTAGCATGTGTGCTTCAATTTTATAGTGCTAAATTCCTTGGTACAATGCTGTGAGGATGTAATGTGACCTCACAAAGAGCATTTATTATAACTATGTCCACAAAGACACATGCTGTAATTCCAATTCTTAAAACTCTATAAGCAGCGGCAGGCACAAGGTATGCTATAAACAGTTCAGGCTGCAGTGGCATGTTGCATTTATGACTGGCACCAACATTTTCAATAATTTAGGCTCAGTAGAGCCAAGATTTCTTTGGCATCCAGTCTGTTGAACTGTATCAATTCCACTGAATGAAGATAGAGTTTTAACACCATTATGGCAGTCAATTTAGTGTGCAAAGTCTTATTGCAAACAGCTGTTAACAGTTTTCTATGTCCTTTTTAAGGTGCTTTGAGGCAGACTTTGATTCAGTGTTCCTGTGGGCTATAAGTCACATAGCAAATGTGTTTATCTCAGGCAGCAGTCACAGACTGGGAGATAAGCAGAGCCATTGTAGTGGCTCCATCCCTATGAATTGCTTCTGTGGCTGTACAGTCACGTATCACTTCTTTGAAAGTCTGCACTGCTTCTGCACATCCAGTTTTGAACTAATTGCTGACGAGCTGTACAAAACATGGCAGCATGTTTTTGAAGAGAGAGATTCCTCATTTTAAGAAATAGTTCACCATTCTAAGGATTGACAGGGAAAGGTTAATTTTTGATAAAATAAAGGTAGTTGCATTCATCCTAAAGGCAAGAGGAGAAGGCCCTGGTCTGTCTATAACATCCAGCAGAATGTTCACTAGGAAAATAGCACCTTGCCCTTTGAAGAACAGGCATATGTATGCTTGGCAAATCTTAGCATATTATCACAGCACCTAGATATAGATGGCTGTTTCTCCCCTCTGGCTTATCTGCTCAGTTTGTCAAAGTTCAAGTAATTTGGTGAAGGTAGCCTTGCATGCAATGAGTTTGATATGCAGCTTTCTGATTATAACAAGAATGTTGGCCTAAAAATGCTATGGCAACTATAAAGCTCTCTCTCTTGGTGAAAAAGAGTAAACTTGCATGCTTTGATGAGATCCAGGGAACATATTTTTGAATATAATCTGTTGTCACTCACTACTTTGTGGTCCATGCTTTTTCTAGAGACAGCAACTGGAAACAGCAAATTTAATAATTTCTCATCCACTTGGACTCAAAACTCTTTGGTGCTTTGCAACTGGTACAATTTCTATATTAATTAGATATACTAAATTTTTATCTCACTTAATTCATAAAGTTTATGTGAGAAATAACACTGCAAATGTATAGTATAAGGAGGAATACAATAAAACACAGATAACAATCTAACTCAATCCATTAAGAACCTCCAAACATGATAGTTAAAAATATGTATATCCACAAACTCCTAAAAGATCACTTAAAAGCTAGTGACACCTTACAGTAATCTTTTTAAAAAGACAATCCTTTTAAAAAGACAATCCTTTTATACAGATTGAATATTATATAAGCCACAGCAAAACCATTTTTTCACACTTGTAGTCCAGTGTTGGGGGTGAGGGCAAATAGCTGTGTAACTACTTAGCTGGAGTAGTCTAGCAACTCATGGTGAAACTGCTGCAAGATTTCCACCTGAAATCTAACAGACCTCACTCAATCTTTTCAGTTCAGAAAAAACTATGAATAGAGATTCTCCCAATGTTATCCTGGTTCTGTGCCTGCTTCTTTTACAGTGGATATTACAGTGGGGTCTGGGGGAGATCTTACTAAGGCATGAATAGCTCAATGAACCAGAAGGTATCACTGTGGTCCATCTCCTTCACAAGCCTCAGAACCCAGCTTGCAATCATTTTGAGCTAACTGGATATTCTAGGGGCTACAAAATGAGTAGACTTGATTACTTCAAAGGCCAGTTTATTGTCTTGGAGAATGGCTTCTTCTGGATGGATGCTTCACAAGCTTCATGGCAAGAAGTAGGACAATTATGGAACAATCTCTCTTATTCCTAGCAAAGAGAGAAGGCTATCCTGAATACAAGAATTCTTATCTTCTGACTGTTTTAGTCAACAGCTGTTGTTCAGCCAATGGTCCATGATTTTATCTAATCTTTTTTATTCCGGTTCTGTAATCAGCTTTCTGAATATTCCTGCTGAGCTCAGTACATACTGTGGGAAAGCGTTTTTCCTTAAGTACCATAAGAGACATGCTTTGAGTCCTTGGCAGGCTAATTTACTACTAGATTATCCTCTTTTTTTCTTAGTGAAACGAATATTTCCTATCTGAATGTCATTATAAGATGTCTTGATACATTTAAAGGCAGGCCAGAATGGTTGAAGTATAGCTTGAGAGACCTGTGTAATAGTTCATATATTAGAATGAAAAGAGAGCATGGTTCATGTGACTTAATTACTTATTCTTTTAATTATACATGACTCAGTCTGCTCTTTGAACAGAGTTTTCTTACATGCCAGATCATACTCAGATGCTTTATAAAGCCATAGCTGTAAACTCTGTCCAGTATACCATCTCTGCTTTTTCATTCTCTGTTACTTTAGGGTACATCCAATTTTTATGAGCTCTTTGTTTTCTTCTCTCTTTTTCAAAGATAATAAAAAGGATGTGTAACGATATTTGGTGGTGTTAAAAAGTGTATATGTTTAGATGTTTGGAAATAAAATTTGGTAGAAATGAAAATATGTTGCAATTCTGTATTATTTTAAAACAATATTTTGATAGCCATTTGAAAAGCAGAATATCAAACTGTTCTGCATAGATTGCTCCAGGCTGGTGTGATATTGATTCTCCATTGAGTTAATCTCAATATACCTTAGCACTTCTGTGTATTGCTTTTGTATACATACAGCCTTGTATCCTAAGCTTACTATGGATGACTCTCTTGTTAAATTTTTGCTGTCTCTAGATACCAGTTTCACATAGATTCTTAGCTGTTGAAAATAAGATTTTTTTTTAAACTACTGATGTCCTGTAGGAACCAAGGATGTTACAATCTTAAACATGGTCATCAGAAAACAACTCCCAATGAATAGCATTGTATAGAAATGTTTAATATGTCCTTGTTGAGAAGTCTTGGTTCTTGAGAAGTCTTGGTTCTTGAGAAGACTATTAGGAGGAGAACATAACCTTCTTTCACTTGTTACCTCATTGCTTATGTCATGTCCAGTGACACAGCATTTTACATTTGCTTTATAAAAACTACCATATTTTCCAGCGTATAAGACGACCCGGAGTATAAGACGACCCCCCTTTTTTCCAGTCAAAATATAGAGTTTTAGCACATCTATCCTCCTTATCCTTATACCCGGCGTATAAGATGACCCCCCCCACTTTAACCACAGATTTTGCAGGTTAAAAAGTAGTCTTATACGCAGGAAAATAAGGTACATGCAGGAAGGGATGCATTTTAAACCCTTAACTAAAATTTCAGGCACATACAGGTAATATATGAATTTTGTGTGTTAAATTCTATGGATGTATAATGAATCTTGATGGATCCGAAGGCATCAGATCATGTTTGATCTTGGAAGCTAAACAGGGATCTTGGTTAATACTTGGATGGAGACTTCAACTGAATACCAGGTACTGTAGGCTATATTTCCAAGGAAGGAACTGGCAAAACCACCTCTAAATATCCCTTGCCTAATAAAACCCTATGAAAAATTCATGGGATTGCCATAAATTGACAGATGACTTGAAGGCACATGAATCTTGATCCATGTCTAGTCACACCAGGAGTTGACGTTCATGCACAAGTAGCTGTGTCAGAATGTGGTTATAGATGCATATTTGAATGTAGGTTTGAATGTGCATCCCATTGAAAGCAGTACAGCACAGATAGAAGACATCTATTTGTGGGGGGGGGCATGTGAATTAGAAATACATATGCATACGTGGTGCCCAATTTGGCCAGTGATATGTATGTAAAGGTATTCTGAACATCTGCAGGATCTCACTAGCAAGATAGACCATGTTTATATGTATATGTCCATACTGTCACAAATAAATACAGAGATAGTATGTCATAGTGATTATGAATAAGCTGTCAGTTCAATCTGCCTTCTTTC